GCCAAGGGAGAGCCAGCGGGCGCCGCGTGGGCCGCGCCCGGGGGGCCCTTCGCTAGCCCCGCGGGGGACGTGGCCCAGGGCCTGGGCCTCAGCGTGGACTCAGGTAAGCAGAGGCGGGCCCCCCACTTCTCCTTGGAGACCCCGGGACTCCGAGGATCTGCATAGCATGGTTGCGTTTCGGCCCATAGACAACCCTGTGTCATCCGTATGTGTGGAGGAGGAGGGAGGGATGAGAAAGTGGAACCCTGCCGTAACCTGGCTGGTAAATGTTACAGAGGATTCCTTTTTTAAAAATATAAAATCAAATGTAGTGGCAAAGCTTTAGCGCTACGCTGTCCAGTGCTGCAGCCACTAGGCACAGGCGGCTACCGGGTACCTGATATGGGACTAGGCCCAATTCAGGTGTGCTTCCGGTGTGTAACACACACTGGGTTTCAGAAACCCTGTGTAGAAAAAGTGTGTAAAATTAACCTCGTTAATATTTTTATATTGGTTGTATGTTGATATTTTTTCAACACATTGCATATCGAATATACTGGATCACAAAATATTATTTTTTGTTTTATTCATTTATTTAATTGAGTTAGAGTCTCACTCTGGCTCCCAGGCAAGATATTTTATTTTAATTATTACCGTTTTCATCTTTGTTCACTGTGGCTGCTAGAATTGTGTCTGTGGCTTCCATTGTATTCCTACTGGACAGCGCTGATCTTAAGTACCTGCTGAGAATGTGGTTTAAAATCCCCTGTGACTTTGGGGGGGGGGGTTGTCACCTAGTGACAGTTATAAGGAAGGAAAATATGTGACTCTGAGATCAGCTTAATTGTCAAATCAAGTAGGTCTCAATGTAAAACGTAAATAATATGAATTCATGATAAAGTTGTTTCTGACTTAAACAGTTGAGTTTGAAAGTTACAGTCAAGGGTTTGCTTTTCTGCTTTCTTTTCTTATTTTTAGAGCAAATGAAAGAAATAGTTTTATTACTAGTGCAGTCCCCCTTCCCTCAGGTGAAGATTTGACTTTGCTTTTACTTTCATTCAACCCCATTTAGATGAAGTCTGTGACTTTCAGATAAAACAGTGGTGTTTGTCTTTCTCTTTCCTTAAATATCTCGTGCTCCCCTCCCCTTTCTATTCCTCTCTCTCTCTCTCTGTCTCTCTCTCTCTCTCTCTCTCTCTCTCTCTCTCTCTCTCTCTCTCTCTCCTTTATCTTCTATTTTCAGGTTTGCAGCCTCAGGACAAAAGCAAGGATGTGTACTGGTTTTAGCCAGCCCACCTTCTTCCCTGTAGGTCTCTGCACAGTGCAGTTGGTGGCAGTCAGAGCTGATGTGGAGTGGGTTTGTAACAGCTTCTGATCTTGGTTTGCAGCTCGCCGCTACTCGCTCTGTGGTGCATCCCTCCTGAGCTGATCTGCTGACCCAGGGTTTCCCTTCCCCTGGCCGTCTGACCAGCCTTGGAGGCTCAGCATCTGTGCCTCTCACTTCTTGGATGAGGACACGGGGAAAGACACAGACTTCAAACTTCTCAATATTGGGAAAACCAACATCTGTGACTACAGAAATTCTGTCTAAAATTAATTCCTGCTGCTGAAAGAGCAAATCCAAAGACTCTGAACTGTGTAATGACTTTTTGCCAAATCACTGGAAATATCTGTGGTGAGACTGCTTAGTCAGGTGATATGATATCATAAGCTTTTTTGGAAAGGGAGAAAGAAAAAGAGACTCTTTGGTGTGAATATTTTTTATGCTGATGTGAATGATTTCCTTAGGTAGTGTGATGATAGCACTACTGATGTTGGTATCCTCAGATTTAAAAATGTATGCGTACTTGCATCACAGACTGTGGCAGAGAAGTAAAGAGAAATCAATTCCCTCTTCCTCACAGCTCAACCTCCAGCTCCCCTCCTGTCTAGCCCCTCCCCACAACACCCACTCCGGACACAAAGACACGTTTTTTCCTTTGGACTGTGGACGTGGAAGCCTCGGCCTGAATGTGAGTGGCAAGTGGCTTATCTGGAGCCACCTGCCTTAGTCTCGTTGAAATGCAGCTGTTGGGACAACTGTTTAAAACTCCAGAAATACATCGACCAAGGTGGCACTTCCCAGTGTTTGGCAGAACAATTGCAATTGCACTGGATAGCTTATATATATATGTGTGTGTGTGTGTGTATATATCATATTTTTTACAAGGAACATTTTTTCAATGAAAGAAGAAACCCTTCTCTCCCACAAATTCTGTCCTTCTCTTTCCTCTGGATGACAAAGCAATGAGAGGCTCCAACCATCGCTGTGGAGAAAACCTGGAAACCACCACAAGGAAAAGAAATGTCCAGGAAGTCTCCTAGATGTCGAATATTTTTCTCAGTCTCTTCCGTTGTGATTTGGTCATTTTAGTTTTAGAATAGGGGAAGGGGTCTGTCTATGTATGGGCAAAGCTGAAGGTGATGAGGAAGAAGAAGCGAACATTAAAGATGTCTATTTACTATGAGTTCACTGTGTTGTTTCATAAACAGAGAATAAATATCTTAGTTTTTTTCTAGTAGAATAAAATAATTTATAGTAGTATGATCTGATTTCAATAACATTACGCTGTTTATATATATTTATCTCTATGTATTCATATGGATAGATATATCTTTTTGTTTTTCCAAGGTGTTAGCTATGCTACAAAATCTGTTAACCCTTTTCACCTCACAGCAGCGCTAGAGAATGAGAAGTTAAATACTCCTCTGTGTCTTACAGATGAGAAAATCATGGCCTATGGAAGCCAAGAACTCTCCTGTTAATTCAGCAAGTTAGAAGCAGAGATGGTACAAAAAGCACTACTTATAGACCATTTAGACTTATTATTTTCCAGAAGGAAATTGTTATTACTTCTTAAATTCTAGACTCTTAAGACAGTAGAGACATCAGTTACGTGTTTTTTAAAAATATTGTTTCCTTTATGTATTAGTAGCCTAAGTTAGGAAACCAAACCTCACACTAGGTGTGTGTATATATATATATATATATATATATATATATGTTATTTTTGTTCTTTCATAGAAGTGTCCTAGTAGAGGTATTTTGTGCAATGCTCAAATTGTCCTTATAACAGTACACTGTTGGAGCATAAACATACTAGTCCAAAGCTTGAGCTTCGTTATTTCTTTTGAGTTGGAGTCTCACTCTTGTTGCCCAGGCTGCACACTCACGGCCACTGCAGCCTCGACCTGCTGGGCTCAGGCAATCTTTCCACCTCATCCTCCAAAGTATCCGGAACTACAGGTGCAAGTCACCATGTGCAGCTATTTTTTTTTTTTTAACTTATTGTAGAGATGAAACCTCACCAAGTTGCCCAGGCTGGTCTCAAACTCCCTGGTCTCAGGCAATACTCTCGCCTCAGCCTCCCAAAGTGCTGGGATTACAGGTTTGAACCACTGTGCCCAGCCAACCTTCATTATAACATGAGAGACAAACATAATTGTCTTGCATAATATTCTCAAGAGTTGTAAGCAGTTAAGGGACATATGAGCTTGGCAGTTTCTCATCCCCTCTTTCTGTCATTTGGGTATCTGTGAAGTAGATATACTCATCCAAGAATAGTATTATTTTCCCTCAGGTGGAAGGTACTCTATGATTATGTGTACCAGATGTGATAACAATAATAATAACTAATGTTAATTATGTATCATGTGCCAGCAACTAATCTGTATAGGTTAACTCATTTAAGCCTCATAACAATTCTACTTGGTATTTATTATTATAATCCCCTTCTTACCAATTAGAAAACTGAGGCACACAGAGCAGAATAATTTGCCCAAAGCAAGATGCAAACCCAAGTAACCCAAGTGCAGAGACTGCACTATTATTCACTACCATGACTGCCTGTCCAGTTCTGATTTGTTTCTTTTCTGTTCAATGTGGGCTTGTTTTCTCTGTCACAATAGTTGAGTAAGGAAGAGAAGAAAATTCAGGGAAAAGTGCTCTGTAGAACTTACAGAATTCCATTTCTCAAAGGAACTGTCAAAGGACATTGTCCAAACTCTATCAAGTGGCACTACCTTGAGATCATTCAGTCAGAAACAGATCACTGTTCTCCAGGAAGGAATTATTATTGCTTCTCTTGCTCACTTTAGTATTTAACGGTCTTCACTGCTCTGAACTTCTTCACACCCAACCTTACCAAGTTGTTTAAAAGTTAGCCTGAGGTTTGGACATTGAAGCAATAACTAAAATTAACTTTGGACTTCTCTGCGGATTTCTTTAATCCATGTTCCACTGGCATGGGTCACTGGTATATATAAGCATAAATAAAATGCATTAAGTCCCACAGAATTTGCTACTAACCATGCTGTTCAAGAAAGCATAGCCATGCCTTTTTGGCTGCACATCTCTGAGTATTCCCCACTGGAAGAGGCTCTTTACCTGTGCCCCACCTGCAGTCATGCTCACAAGATCTGTGACTGCATTTTCCCAGCCACGAGGTTCTGGTTACTGAAACCTCTCCCTAAGCTGCATCTGACCCGAATATCAGGTTGCTGATGAGGAGACTCATTCACTGGAACTGGCCTTTGGGACGGTCTCGAACAGACCTTCCAGACTGCTGGGCAGCCCAGGCTCCCATGTCCTGGCACATATGATGCATGAAGCGTAGCATTTCCCTTCATTTCACACCTTCCTCAAGGAGAAATGCAAGACAACCTCGATCTCTGAAGATTTGGTTCTGTGAAATAAGAGTATCCAAGAGAATAACTCCAACTGGCATTTTTTAGGCCCAACAAGTCACGTAAAATACAAGTGACTGTCTTGCCGGTAGTGAAACCATGCTGACTAGAGAAGGTTCTGACAGTTGAAAAGAGGACATTCAAGGAAATGAGGGATGGCATGAGAAAAGGAGAACATGTAGTTTTTACATATGCCTGGTTGGGGGTCTGAGAGAAAGGTTACATTATCCCCTGCTTGTACCCCCACCTTCCCACCCCCCAGCACTGGTGTCCTCTTCACCCACAGCTCTCCCTTTGCACTTGGCCTAGGTTGTGGGAGAGGTGATGAAAGGGAAAGAGACAGCTCTCCACCGCCATGTAATCCTCTAGCCGATTGCCCTCTGGCTGAGAACTCAGTCACCGGCTTCAGGGAACTCCATCTGTTCTACTCCTTCAGCTTAAAAGGAGTTGCCATCCCATCTCATTTCCCCTTTGAAGTTCTGTTTCCATGCATGGCAGATTCTAACAATGGCTTAAAATTGATTTGGGACTAGATAAGAGGTAGTGGATGTTGGGACTCATACCTCCTGACTGAACATTTCTCTTTTCACTCTTTCTGGGTAAGTACTGTATTTTCTGTGCTTTCTGTATCTGGTGAAAAATCCTCTGGTCATATAATTTTCATTTGACTCATAATCACAAAGCCTGAATTTCTGGGCAGGCACTCATTCATGTTCTATCAAAATAAACAAAGAAGCTCTTTTTAAGAAACATGTAGTGATCAATTACTTTGGCGTTGGAGGAGATTAGAAAAACAAATAGAACTTAGACAAACTATTTTCCATATAAATGTCATTTCCATAAATTACATTTTTAAAGTAACTCATTAGGATGTTGTCTAAGCATGGAAGAAAACCAGAGGAAAGATATTTCAAAAATAAATGAAACTGAAAAACATGTGATCCCTTTATAAAAGTGCTTTACCAGTTTGCTGACAGTTTTCATGCAAATAATTCACATTTTGATTGTACCTGCCAAGGTGCTTGCTCTGTATATTCCAGTTTTCCTTGCTATATTTCTAGGATTTGTCATATATTCCCAAAATCTGGAATAAAGGAATAAATATCATAAAGACATTTGTTACAGTTGCTGTTTGTGTACAGCATAAGTTGTGACATTTATACAAGCAACAGGGTCAAGCAAACTTAAATTTCACATTTCCTAAATCCTAGCTCTTGCTCATCACCCATAAATAAATAAAACTCTACTAATACAAATACAGTGTCTGCATAATAATCTATCTGTCCACAAACAATATGACACATGCACACACTACACATAGATTCAGACCTAAAGAGAAATCAGAGACACCATGGCCTTAGACAGGCACAGGCACAAATGATTATTCCCACTTGACAGACCAACTGTACCACACTTTCCTTGTATTTCACTCCAACCCCTGAAGGCTGGATCAGGAAAGAGACACTTGATAGGTGCTGTTTCCATGGTTGAAATATTTGTGAAGTTAACGCATAATCTGAAAGCAGAAGCTAATAAATTATAGGGTGCTAATTGGAGCTAGAGTGGAGCTGTCAATCATGCTATCCTAAACACAGAGAGACCCTCATAACCTAAAAAGGTAAGGCAGCCTCCAAAAACAGCTCCTATTTGTTTCTGGCAAACATCGTAGCCAGGCAGAGAGTGGCCACTGACAAGAGTCGGCAGAGGTGATTCTACTAACCCAAGTTTAAGAGACACATTTTCTTTTAGGAGAAAAGAGTAAAATATTGTGCTAAAGAATTAATGTTTAACCTTTTGAGAGATACTGAATTTACTACAATAAATATTACTTTGGTAAAAACAAGTAACCCTTAATTTGGAATTTTTCACTTAAAAAAAAACAGATAAAAATCTAAAATTCTCCAAAAGTGTCAGGTCTATCTCAAATTCCAGTATTTCTACGAGTTTCCCAGTGTACTTTTATGAAACTAAATTCTTCTGAAAAAAAATTAAGCTGTTCAACTCTTCTCTACCTTACTGAAATTCAGTTATTTCACCTAGAAAAACAGCAGCATATTTCTTGTTTGTTTGATTTGTTCTTAGAATTTCTTAGTAAACTCTAGGTCAACTTATCTACAAATATTTCAAAATGGTTAAAGTGATTTTGCTCAAACTAGCCTTTCATCCTTATTTCCATTTCCTGTCAAAAATGTATAAATGAATAAGATATAATTATTACATACAATAAATTTAGGTTGAAGTAAGCTAAACTTGGGGAAAAAAAGAATGAAACCTTTTTGTTCCTAATTAATATTTGCTTCACTCTAACGATCTAGTAAGCAATTACAAATTTTTATCAGCATGTTTTTTTGGAGTACATGCTTTAATCTCTACCTGGGTTTACAACTAGGAAAGTGTTCCATTTACCTTGTAATTTGAAGCTTCTTTAAAATACCTCAAATAAAAATTGCTTTCACTACGGAAAAGAAAAATCAACAATCTTAAAATTCTATACTCACACTTGCTGGAAACAATTATGATTTGGATCGTTGATAGGAATGTCACGAGCTCTTTTCTTTTCCTGCTAATTCTTGAACTATAGCCTTGCCCTTATTTTTGATAACTACATCTTATTTTTTGGAAACTACATATACCAATAACAGTATTATCAAAAAATGGGACAGAAAACAAAAAATCAAACATTTTTTGTGTTATTGCTGTTTATTTTGGCCAGGTACAATTCTATTTCTTTTTTCTTCTGGTACATTTTGCCCAAGGTATACTACATTCTAGAAAGCAACTG